TCATTATTACAAATGAATATGATAGTAAATTGACAGAGTCATCTATCTCAACTTATACTTGCGTTCACACGCATCCTACTACCACAATTCTAGCCAAGTTTAAGTAAGCTAAGTAATTAAAGAAATTTCTCAACTTCTGATCTAAAATTTTTGAAATACATTATACTAGTGAGTACATTGAGAATTTCGTTAAAAATTATATCCATTAATAAAAATATCAATAAGGAGGCAAAAAGGAGATTTAGAAACAGAGCTTGAATAATAAAATACTGCAAATTTCAATATTATTTTGTCTGACCCTTTACTTATCAACGGTAAAATCAACGCAGACGGGGTCCCTAAATGGCTTCCTAGTAATTAGCCTGCCTAAACTCGGCCGCTGGGATCCCATCTCTTTGAGAACAAGAGGAACCGAATAAAAATTATAAAAGTTGGCATTGCACAAGCTCAATATATTCCGCATATCGACTTTGCTTGTTCTGAATCCATTTTTTATCATTATTTTTAAAACAACAAGAAATTACTAACTTAGCAATACATGTATTAAAAATGAGACATAATATATTTTTAACCGACTTCAAAAAAGGAGGAGGTTTCTCAATTCGACCGTATATATATATTTTTTTATGTGTGTTCGTGGATAACTTCGTCGCTTATGAACCGATTTTGATGATTCTTTTTTTGTTGGAAAGGAGATATCCCAAGGGTGATCCCATTATAAGGAAACCCGGATCTGATGATGGCATCCCAGAGAAATCGAGAGCCATCATTGAATGTTATAAGTATTAACAATGTTTTTAATTTTCTAATTGAAGTCGGTTTTTTTGCAACCATTAAACTGCACCTGTCCAAAGGTAAGATTTTAATTATCAATTTTACTCCAAATTAGATTATCGGACACACGGAAACTGTTATTATACAACAGGCATTAGTTAATCTCCAAAAACCATCGAATTTATTCCTTTTAAACCGACTTCAAAAAGGATTTTCAATTCGATTGTGTATTTTTTACGTTTATTACCTCTGAACTCCATCATGCATGAACCTATTATAGAAGTTATTTTTGCGTATTCTTCGATTTAGCTTACATGTGGTTCGATATTAATTTAATTGGTATTTAACCTTAGACTTCGTAGAAACATCAAGGAACTCTTTAAAAGTATCGAAAATGTATATTTAATGAGATGTTTGAGGTCGGTTTGAAGCTACTAAAAACGTTTTACTTGTAATTCATCAACCCCTTCATATTTCTATTATTGCGCGTTTTATACAAAAACGGTGATCAAGAAACATTTAATGGCGCGGTTCCGCCGCAGTCTGCACGCCAGTCTGTCCCGCCGGGGAGGGATTATCCTCAAATAAGCGTATTACATCTCGTCCCTGCCTCGTGCTTTGTGGACCAAATAGGAGACCTTTCAATATATTAAAGGTGATGTATGCATTCTATAAATGACATCGCTTCAACGTCAATGGAAATTGTTCTATAAATATTTATGTTATATCTATATATTTATCTATATCACACTTCTGTATATTCTATATACATTTAAAGAAATATCTCTAACCGAGGCAAAATTTCTGTATTACGTCAAATAGTTTTTTGTGCTCACGATACAGGCGTCGCATAATGTGCGGATTTCGAAATGTCTTAACAGCAATCTAGTTCTAAGTTTCTAATTATTTTTCATATCCTATGTTCTTGCTGGTTGATTTATTATTATTAATTTCAGAATGAAAGTGCATTAAGCTGAAATACACGATATCAAAACCTAGTCCAGCGACGGATACTATTGTTCTATTGTAGCGGTTTGTAACATTACTAAAATTGTATAGCAATAAAAGGAAATAAACATCACTATTATTAAAAGTTATAACGACATATTAAACTTATTGAGGTGTGCTCTTCGTTTTCATTCTAGTGTTACGCTGGCCGGTTCAGTACTGGACCATTGGCCATATTTATTCAATGGCTTCCCGAAGCAGTTCGACGAAGGCGTATGGCGTTCTGGACGTATCCGAGGGAATTAATACTATTTTTATTGTGAAAAATTGGCAAGCGTACAGGCGATTCACTTGATATTAAGTGACTACCACCGCCCATGGTCATCTACAGCTATGCAGCAAATAATAATAAAGTTTATTACCTCTTAGTTGTACAATTTTAGACTTAACGCTAATGCATAATAATGTTACAAATAAATACAATAGATAAATAGCATACGTCACCAAACTAGGTTGTGTGAACCTGTATTTTGGCTTTTGGCGCCATTCCACATTACAATAAAAAATTCCAAGTGCTTTTTTAAAACAATTGATAAAATTAATAGTTGTCTAACGGAAAGTACCTCGCAGTAATTGTATAAAACATTCGTATGATACAGAAGTGGTTTGAAAGTACCCATCTTTAGAATTGTCCGTTGTGCAACTTTTAAACAATTCAAGTACGTTTTAGGGACACCTCCGCAAATAGCGATGCAGTAATTTATTAGAGGTTGACAAAGGGCTAAATAAATGCGCTGCCAACCAAAATGGACCCCGGGTAAAGCCAGAAGAGTCAGTATAATACTTCCACTTTACGCCGGTCGTCTTTGAGGCCATGGTGCTTTGCCTGACGAACCTGTTCATTCATGCAATAAATCAATAGCAGAAGCGTATACAACACAATAAATTGGAACAGAGGAAGAGGACAAAGGTATACAGGGAGAATTTTTTAAACGTGCCCAATATTTACACAGGAGATTCAGACTCTGTAGTATAATCGTTTATTGAAATAAAAACAAACTTTTTTTTTTCAAAAAATTTACTACTCTATTCCCTAAAAAACAGAACTTGTTGGGAACGCGTTAGTCATTCATAAATACCTAAATTTTCCTCTCCAAATATAGGCTGATGACAACGCTGGCAGTGTCACCGAAGTGTGCGAAAGCGTTTCCGTGGCCCTACCGAAATGCGCCCTATGTGGAAAGTCGTGGAAGTTTTGGTCGGTGCGAGTCCGCCCGTGCCCGCCCGTGCCCGCGCGTGGGCGAGTGTGTAGGCATTTCCCTCACTTTAACAAAAAAAGGGTACGGTATTAAATCGTTTGTTAGCCAGTTGTAAAAGAAATCTTTGTAATGTTCAGTATATTTGAGGCGCATACGATTTTCCTCAAATTATAACATGAATATCTGACATAAGCCACCGTTTATTCCCCTAAAAATGTAAATAAAATTCATATTTTTAAGTAACTCTAATTGATTCCAACTTGGCTGTTGGTCTTTGTTTAAAATTATTATTGTAAAAACAAAACTTTCATAATTATGTACTTTATAAGTAGTAAAGTAATTAGTAGTTCGTATTTTTGCGTGAATGTATGCGCCTGACCAAATTTATTAGCATAATCTTAAATCAGTATTATAAGGCAGCCATCTTTTCAGCCATTTCACTGTTGTTGATAGTAATCATTTCAAAGTTATAAATGCACCAATGTACAGACTGACGGATAGACAGACGATCAGACATATAGAGAGCAATCGTGTTTAGTAACTTGTATGTATAATAATTTGTTAAGCAGAGGAAATGTTATGCGGCTAGCAAGAATACATCTCACCGTCAGCCATCTTTTCAGGCATTTCAATGTCGTTGATAGTAATCATTTCAAACCTAAATGCCGCTTGACGTCTGAATAAAATTTGTCGCGGTTACGAAATACAAACAAATTCCGTTACGAGGAGGCGTCGGGAGCCGTCGTCGCGCATTTACATAAAATTATCGACCCCCGCCCCCGGCACCCCGCTACTCGTAAAAACCCCCTTCGTGACGCCAAAATATTTTGCGAACAGTTTTCCACGCGCAAAGTTTGTCATTCAATATACAGACGGCGTCGAGTTTTGAGTGTTGAGCTTTTTTTTTGCGGCGCTTTCGGAATAAGAATTTTCAGGTTGTATAATAACTTGGTTGTTGTTGTAAGTGGAGAAAGAAATACGGCCGCCTCTTGTCTTCAGCTCTAATAGATAAAATATTTGTACTATAATGGCGCCATAATAACAAAATTAAACATAATTAGATGTGGTAGGACCACGCGAGTCTGCGTTGAATTTTTTTGATTATACGAATGGGCAGGTCCATCAGTGCATCAAAAAATCTGAAGTACCATGACCTCAAAAAAAAGTTTGACTATCATACATTGTTCAGGAGTTGCAACGATATTGCTTGACGGAATAATAAGCTTACGTGAAGCCATGCGTAATAAAATCCATAATTAATATTTAGTAATGGTAACAAGAGTTAATCTACATTTTTTAGGTTTTCATCATTTAAATATAACAATACTATTTCTTGCGATAATATAGTAAAGTTAAAAGTAACAGTCTATACATTTTCCACTGCTGGGCAAAGGCCTCCTCTATACAGAGGGTATCAGGGCATAGTCCACCACGCGGCTCCAATGCGGACTTCACATATCTTCGAAATATATATATATATATATTTTGTTATTATTTCGAAAATATGCAGGTTTGCTCACGACGTTTTCCTTCACCGCGGAGCACGTGATAAATCAGCACTTAAAGTTAAAAACTTCGTTGGTGCCGGCACCGGGGATCGAAGTCAGGTTTCTTGATTATATTGAATTAAAGGCGAGCGCCCGGACACTGAGCTATCACGGCTCCGTAAAATTTTTAATAATTACATTTTTTAAAATAAATCGAAAATCAATTTAATTGAATTGTTAATAGAATTGAATTATTTTTTACAATTAAAATAATAGAGTTATATGCGATAATATCCTCATAACAGTTTTATACGAAATAGCGTAGTGTTCGGAATTTATACTAGAAATCCTTACAGAATATTTAACTATGCTTTGTCGAAACTCCAGATTACCCTGAAATCCTAATATTGAAAATTGTAAGGAACGCAATGAAGTTTGTTCAATTTCAACACAATAAACAGTGCACAGCGAACTCTACATCACAAGCGTACTTTGGTAGAGCCGCTCTACCATCTGCGTGTGTCGTATACGTATGTATATCATCCCGGAGCAGCGGCGCGGACAAAGGAACGGGGCCGGTTGGGCGGGGCGCTCCGCCCCCGTTCTTGGCTCCGGGTATCAACAATGGGCGAAGCCAGGTACACAACAATCTGTATGCTACCAAGAGAATACTGATCGGCCTTCTGGCCACCACAGATTGTATCCGTGCCTCGCCGTCGCGGTTAGCAAAGCGTCCAGTTGTTGAACGATCTTACAGTTGAAATTTATCAGTTAGTCTCGGCGAAATGAATAAGAAATCGGCCAATTTGAAATGTGTAAGCATTTCAAATTTATGGAATAAGCGTTTTGAATGTAATCAATTCTTATAGGCATTATAAGCCAACTTAATTGATTTATATTTTTTATGTGCTTACCTAAATTAAAAGCCGTAACATGTCATTACTTATCAATATTAAGTTGTCACTAAATCTTTATATTATAATTCATTCAACATTCGGAGTTAAATCTAATAAATTATAATAATTAATAAATTATGTTAATAAATTATGTTAAGCAAATAGAGATAAAAGAAAAAAGTAAAGCCAAAGTAGAGAGACTTTACTTACCTAACATGTATTTATACATCCCTGGCTATTTCAATTGCATTTAGAGTTATTTCTACAATAGATCAAGAAACCTTTCTTTCTGAACCAATATTTAAAAGTCATAAACTTGTACATTATATTATTGTTTTCGACGTACATTAGATCCCAAACTGTTCGTTTCTTTTATTCATATGGTAAGAGTTGCAAATGCAACTATAACATTTAATTTTTCTTTAAAATTCATTAATGATAGATTATATGTAATTTATCTTGACTTACATGTTTTATACTTTTATCATATCACCTTAATAAAATTTTGTAATATGAATAGTTGTATAATCCAAACGATCAAGAAACATTTGGTAAAATGGTAAAATTACAAAGTGTCTTTTGACACTATCTCTTTTCTATTAATATTACAAAAAAAATAAAGAAAAAAGTGCGAAAAGTTTTTCACCCCGGTGAGAATCGAACTCACGTCTTCGCGATTCGCACCCAGACGTGGGCTCGATTCTCACATCGGTGAAAAACTTTTCGCACTTTTTACTACAAATTTTAATATTTCACCTTAATTGCAGAGATTAGCACTATAAAAATTTAAATCTCTGATAATACATAGTCAAATAAACGCATCAAATTCGAATCTTTATTCAATATAGAAGCATTGCACTTATTTAAAGACTGTCAACATACATCGCTACGTGCTTTACGTAATGTAGAGTACCTACGCTGTGCTACGTTCAAATAAATATATCCTGTGGAACTCTGTATCTGTGTCGGCTGCAAAGTTAAGCGAGTATTTGAGACAGTCGACAAAATGGCGCATTTAAATGGGCGTCTACTGCATTGTCGGTCTCACGGCGTCGATATCTCTTGCTGGCCTTGTCGCACTTACACTCGAACCTCTTTATTTCCGTGCCCCATTCATCGCGCGTACAACGCTTTAAAAGAAAACATTAATACGATCAATTATGAACCTTACGAGGATGCAGTAAGGTTGCCATTCCTATAATGTTTGAACAAGAGAAAATATTACCACCAACGAATGCCGCGACGTGTGAAACTGTTGCACATTGCTTCGTCCTTATCGTTCACGCGAGGGAGAGGGATATTTTTATCGGTCTATCTCTTTCTCGCCTCCTGACAAGTAATGTGTTATTGCTTGTTGTGATATCTCCAAAATAACAGGGAAGTACTCGCTACGAAGTTGTCATTTGTAACGGTTTTGCTTTGTACGGACAGCATATAAACATTTGGAGTAAAAATTTTACAGCTTTTACAATTTAATTTAAATCACGATGATATACTATATGTACCATACTTTCTTACGTATTGTAAAGACTTAATAAAAGTCTATTTAAGTTTACAGTTTAGTTTTTACTTAATTTTTATTATATGCATTTCGTCGTAATTAACTGTATACATCAATACTGTAAAAGTTTCATGCTAATGGTTTTTTTTCAACAAAAACTATTCCACTAACATAAACTTTTTTTTAATGACATAATAACATTTCTTTTAAAAGTCAAAGACTATAAAAATCGAATATATAACATCACATGCAAATAAAGAAACTATACCTACGAATACAGATATTAAAACAAACAAAAAACATGTAAAGTAGACACAACAATGCGCAAACGTTTTATTAATCAAAACAAAAAAACACGAGAGAAAAAAATCTCAACAGGCGCAAATAAGGCCGCGCGTCCTGTCCGTACGGGCCAAGGCAGCCCCGCGGTGCCGTCGTAGTGGGGCGTCGCTAAACAAAAACACGTACACAAGCGGCGGGAGACGCGATTGGCTGGCCGCGGACGGCCCCCGGGCGAGGGGCGCACGGCGCGCTCTACGCCGCACTGTGCGCCGCGACCTCCGCCCGGCAACATGTGCAGCGGAGCAGAGGGCTCTTGGTCCCTGCCGAAAGAGACGCCGTCCGTCACCGCCGCCGCGCTCGACCACTACCGTCTGCAGCTCTACAACTACGCCGTAGCCGAGCGCCTGCGACTCTACCCGCCGGCGCCATGCTACGCGCCCTACGCTCCCCGCCTCGCGCTCTCCATGTCACTGCTGCAGCAGCGCGCGCTCCAACCGGAAGAGCCGAAGCCGCAACACAGCTACATCGGGCTGATAGCGATGGCGATTCTAAGTTCACCAGAGCGGAAACTCGTGCTGTCCGACATCTATCAGCACATACTGGACAACTACCCGTACTTCCGCACCAGAGGCCCCGGCTGGCGCAACTCAATCAGGCACAATTTGTCCCTCAACGACTGTTTCGTGAAGGCCGGACGTTCGGCTAACGGGAAGGGCCACTACTGGGCCATCCATCCGGCGAATGTGGAGGACTTCCGCAAGGGCGACTTCAGACGGCGCAAAGCGCAGAGAAAAGTGAGAAAGCACATGGGGCTGGCTGTTGATGACGACGGTGAGGATTCTCCGTCTCCGCCGCCGCAGTCACCGCCACCGACGGCTATACCGATTCCGTTTTGGGGTGCCGGAAGGCTGCCGGGTGGTGGGCAAGCCCGGAAACGGCAGTTCGATGTCGCGTCGCTCTTAGCGCCAGATGACGCGCCGGAGAAGCGGCGACGGGACAGCAGCGGCGAGGAGGAACCGGAAGAGGACATCGACGTGGTGGCCAGCGATCAAGAGGAGAGGGTTGAAGAGGAGAGCCGCTCACTACTCGCACCGGCAGCGCATTACCCGCTGCTGGGAGGTTGGTGGCCAGCTTTGGACCCAGCGCTCTTGCACCAGCTCCGTCGCCACGCTGTTCCACATGCTCAGACCATCACCACTTCGCCCCAAGGTTCCATTAGTCCGGTCGACCAGCAACGTCCCCCCGACACTTAAACTGTGATGTTCGAAGATTACGCTTAGCGCATTGTACAAAATGTGAATATTTCAGTATTATTCCCTAGTGTTGATTCATTACATAGGTTAGGTTTCGTTGCTTTATCCATGCTGCGAAATGAAATGTTGAATATATTTAGTTTTACTTTTAAAGTATCGCGCGTTGATGTCTTTTACATGTGATACGAACACTCCAGTGCAAGCCTCGGTAGTTTCCTATTTCGCTACGGCCGTGTAGGTTTTAACTAGCGTACAGTGTATGTCTTGGTACTTTATGGAACCCGAGTACTTATAGCGTCGATATCGAAAACATTGTCTACTTAACGCGACTTGATCAGTGTCGAAGTCTGAAAACGACCAAGTGACTGTAGATATACTCCTAGGACTATTTGTATATATTGTGGAAGGTGTCTACTTATTGCTGTTATAATACGTAACATAATGTTGTTTATTTACTAGAGGAGCATTGAATTAAATACTATAATAAAATACCTATATAAAATCTCCAAATAAATAGTGAGTACTAAAAAGCAAAGCAATCTTTTATTACTAATCGACCAAACTCCAAAAATCACAGACTAGTTAAATATAAAGCAAAAGTACGAGAAACCAATAGACATGTATTATATATTAGTTATTCTAACTAATACAACCGAAACTATTTCAATCCAGACACGGCTATACAACTACACAATTACATAATCTGCTATTAATTATGTTTAACATTATTTATTTGTGTCTTACAAAGTAAACAGTACTAAAATTGATCAAATGGGTTCTCATTTTTGGCGTACAAATATTTTAGACTTTGATTTGGAAGTCATTATAATATATCAACAACATATTAATCGTCAAATACAAATTTCATAATAACTAAAACAATCAATATTTGAATTTAGTCATAACTAAAGCATACAAAAGATATTTTATGCAAAAAGAGGCGAGCATTTCGTAAAACATTTTTATTTCACCATAATGGTCTTCAATCATTATATAACAGATTCTTAGTAATCTATTAATATAATTAGTACGGCTGAATGACTACATACATCCGAACTTTTTACAAGCAACTGATGACTTTTAATTATTTAAATTAGTGTCCAACTACAAGAATTAATTTATTACTACTTCACTTTAATAACTCGAAACAAAAAAACGCTTGTGTTTTCAATCAATAATAATCTTCTAAAACATGAATACATATATCCTATAAATATAATTGAACGTATTTTATAAATAAATAACATATTAATTTTAGCATATATATGTTTTGTGCATTCATTGTTAAAACATGTCATTGTAAGTTTAGACGAACTTGCGACGAAACTTTACTTTTTACTTATTACTAAGCCTCCGCTGTCTGTCTGTCCGTCTGTCACCGGGCTGTATCTCATGAACCGTGATAGTTAGGCAGTTGAAATTTTCACAGATGATGTATTTATGTTGCCGCTATAACAAGAAATACAAAAAAAATATAACATGATTTTTGTGTCGTTTTTATAGGAATCCTACGTGCGCGAATCCAACTCGCACTTGTCCGATTTTTTGTTCACATAAGTGATTTCAATTGAAAATTGTTATTTTTTAGGTACACAAATCAAATAAATATTCATTCAATTAAATATTCATCATAAATATTTAAATCTGTGAGGCACTTAATCCAAAATTACTTTTTTTATTCGCTTTTTATATTTTGCAAAAAGGAAACAATGACTCTTAACAATAATATTTTGAATTTGAAAATTAGTTATTGTATTGACTTAGTTTCTACACTTTTTCCTCACTATTAAGCGGCATACGCACTTTTAAGTTTCTTACCTCATCAATAAAAACATAAACATCGCAAAAGTAAAACGATACTTAAATAACTTAAGATAACTATTTTATATGAAAGAAAATGTGTCATGTGAGTATCTAAATTTTTTACTGTAGATAATAAATAACAATATTCCTTTCGCAGGTAAATAGTGAACTTTTACCCGTGGATTATTCATTAGAAGTGTAAATTCCACTACATGCCTTCCATAGAGTTCCCATTGTTGAGATTACAAAGAAAACTTTGAAAAAACAATAAGACTTTGGAGTTCCCACGTGAATCGCGATTGTCTTAAACTCTTTAAGCGATTACCACACTACTCAGCTTTAAAGCTAATGTGTTACTAAGAACGGGTAAAGTGTGATTCATAAACATTCTCGCTGGCTAATGATAAGTAGCGTATTACGAGGAAATTACATAATAATTAAACTATTAACTACGCAAAGAATAAATTGCGTAAAGTTACAAAAGTATATAAAAGATAAGTAGTATCCAATTATTAAGTAATACTTTAAATTACAAAAAGTATTACTTTAGTGATCTAAATAACATAGTATCCCATATCCCTGAGCTTTTTTTTATGGGGCTAAAAGGTTATGTACTCTAAATTATTTCAGAGTATCACATGTATGATGATATTTATTCCGTCCACATGAAATGAACACGAGATTGTCACCAATAGCACAAGCTTCGAATTTGAACTTAGTAGACAACACGACGAACTGCTTTTATTCGTCTGTGGTTAACTAAATACTACGCTCTAAGGCAGCAAACTCCATTGGATTTATATAGACATATCCTCTTACTAGCAGTTCGTGAAGCTTATTTTCTTCTACAAGGCCCTGTCCATCTTTATAAAAAAAAAATCATCAAAATTGGTTATGCGGCTTCGTCGTGTAGGCGTAACAGACGGACGGAGTCCGACCAAAAGGATCGTTATAAATTATGGCTTGTGTATTAAACTGATGTATAAAGATATTGTAAAGTTTCATTAAAATCCATTCGGTAGTTTTTCTATACATCCATTCATACAAACTTTCGCGTTTATAATATTAGTAAGAATTAACGTTTGAATATCTCATTTAATTTTTATTCGGCATCATTGTGATTCAAGCTCATTTCCTAAACCTTTCCTTGACAAATGCCTTGGGTACTATTTTTTCTCTTTTATTTTGCACTGTTCTTTGTATATCTATAATATTATAAACTTGTTATATTACAATATATTTTACATATTACGAAGTATAGCCCAAAAACTGTCGAATTTGGTCATTGAAATACCGTTACCGTAAAGTATGTAATAATATATACTAAGTACAAATATATATTTTTAATCATCATATTCATACAACTTCGCAACAAAAGAGCTTGCATTAACGTAGACGGTGTTTTGAAAAATAATGTACACGAGTATGATTAAAATTGGTTGTATTTGTACGTATTAAGATATTCCGCCTTTTTTTCTTTTTCTTTCTACTGAATACTGTCAAACTGACATTATTAAGTAATTACCGTTACTCATGGACACCTGTCCAGTTTTAATTTCATTGCCAATATTAATGAGGTGGGTCCCAAATACAACATTGATGAGACGAAATGCAAAAGTATGAATTATTCCACTTGCCTTAAAGTGTGTTGAGTGAGAATGAGTCTTTTGTGAGTCCGCACTTCCCGGGAGTCATTTTTCATGCAACCGCTGAAGCTGTTACGTGGTTCATCACTAATAATTAACTAAAGTTTTTTTTTATATTTTATGATTATTATTGCTACTATGTACCATAGGTTATAGCTAGTACTTCAACTGTATGATGTTGTCAGTTTTTTGCCCGATTGAAGCGATCAGTCTAATTTCTTACAACCTCAGATACTAAAATCTGGCCGGGCTTCGGCTGGTGGTTGCCGACATTGTAATATTCATTCAGTAGTTATTCAATATACATAATTATGTATGCATATGTCAACATAATACATTAGAATATTTATTTATTCAACAGGTTCACCAACGTTCGTTCACATATCATTATTAAACATTAAAAAGATGAAACTTAAATCATATTTACTTACATATGTGACGAACATTTACAGGCGAACACCACAACCATAAGTAATAAAAAGAAATCCAAAAAAAAAAAATATTACAAGCTCGTAAAAACTATAGCCTTTCTAAAACCATTCTGATTCATTTTAAAAGCTGGCACTAAATATCATCCAATAACCACGTATTGTGCGTGAGTTTTAGAATTATTAAACTTGGATCTATATTTGTATATAATTATATTTCTTAAAAAAACCAATAAGAACAAGTACACCCTTATTTAACGTTTTAAATCATAAAATAATCTAAATTTCGATTTACAACGTTCCCGCTAACGGAGTTAACCGTTTTTATGTAATTTAATTTATTTTTCGAATCTCAACTCTCGATCTTTTGTTCTGCGTTTTAAATAAAAAATATTATGTCATAGGTTGTTGACAACGAGATTTGTAAGAATTTCCGCTTACGCGTACCAAACAATGCTATCAAGATTGGGTACATTTAAGCTGTAAATCCTTCAGCACCTGATAAAGGGTGCTATTACCACGGGCGAAGCTGATTACATCATCGACAAGTAAACGAAAAAAAAAGTGCGTGCAGAATTTAACACTCTCACGGCTCTTCTATTACCTTTAATTTATTGAAATCACTTCGAAGAAGGTTTTGTTTTGAGAATTGCATGACTCAAACCATTTTACTTTAATCAATGAATTTTAGAACATTTATGTCATATTTTATTTGTTTTAGTTATTTTCTTTTAAAGTTTTTAAATTAATCCATATGCCCAACCGTTTTAATTACCATTAAACTTTAAAATATGAATAATAATATTTATCCGTACGTTTTTATAAAGTATTTATTATGAGTCTTGGTTAATTTTAAGTTAATGCAGCTGCCTAAAAATCTGACTTCTAAAGGATGAAAGATAGAATCGAACCCCCTATGTGTTCTTCTATTTCGAAGGAAATTCAATAGCAAATGCGATAATAAAATTTGTGTCAATTATCTGTAAGTTGAAACACAATAATTATTGAATGAAACAAATGAATAAAATTCGATTTTATCGTGCTCAATTATACAAATTCCCGAAGTTTCGAATGCACGGCGTAATTCATGGTCGTAGGACAGAGTTCAAAACTAAATTGAGCGCGATAAAATTCGTGTAAAGTTATTTGCAAGGAAACATTATAAAACATTAGTTCTTCAAATAACTCTCAATTTAAACAACTCTTTTTTGGGGAAAAATATGGATAAATATTGAAACGGTGTAAAGAGAATTTTAGCTGCATTTGCCTGATTTGTTTAGTTTAACGTGAGAGGTTTTCGATTCATTCGAAACAATAAAAACTACTTAGGCTTTTATTACCTTTGATAATCGCTTAGAGGCGCACGTATCCGATCTGTTATCAGGGGTTACCAGGGTAACAAAAGCTTTATCAAGGCAATACACTGACTGGTAACAGGTTGTGAGTCCCACGCGGGGCAAGGGAAGGGCCCAATGCGTCAACTTCCTGCGTATTTCTACTAAGGAGGCAGCGATACAAAAACGGAACGAGTTTAAGCCGGGATTATCTGTAGATCTAATCTTTGAACCATAATCCTACAAGTAACAATGCAGCAATTGTTTACGGTGGTGCAAATTTGGCAGTACACGCGATATTGTTTCGACTTTTACGTTTCTATGAGGACCTTTTGGTCTTTTTGACAGCTTAGTATCCTCGGTTCAGGTGCAGGTCTTTACATGATTAAAATGTAGAATAAAGTAAAATTAGTAACAGCCTATTAATCAACCAAATCTTCTTTGTACAGAGGGTATCAGGGTATAGTCTACCACGCGACCCCACTGCGGATTGACGGACTTCATGTATCTTGAAAATATTTTTTATAATTATTTCAAAGATATGCAGGTTTCCCCACGATGTTTTCTTTCACTGATGATCACGTTATTAGTCGACATATAAAATTAACAATTTTAATTTGTGCCGGCACCGGGGATTGACTCATGTTGCTCGAATATATTGAATTAAAAGCGAGCGCATCTAATAAATGGTAAAAACATAGAGTTATGTACTATTTAATTGACGCCCGAACACAACACTAGGACATACATATATATATATATATATATATATATATATATATGTATATATATAATAAATATATAATATGTATATATAAATATATATATATATATATATATTGTAATAAAAATATTCAGATAAAACGGAAAAAGTAAATCGAAATGTCATCATTTTAAGTTAATGTTCCAGACGTGGAATAATGGATTCAATGAAAATTTTGTTCACTCTTAGCAATTCAAGTTAACTTATTTACTTATTAATTTGTCGTTATAAATTAATTTATGTAAGTAGTAACCTATTAGGAGTTACGTTAGTTGTAACTTAGGAATTTAATGGGCCTTTATAGCAGTTTTAACGGCCTGGTTTAGGAAATTGGTGAACGATTAACAAATTATTCATTATTCATGTCTCCGTACAAGCCTTGGTATAACTAGGTATTCCATATATACACTTATTCTCTGAAAAAACGACTCCGCACTGCAAAGTCATTCCTACTAATTTTATTCTGTTCCCTGATTCACATTTATAGATGTAAATATTTATTAGTAGTTATTGTGTTACTGTTTTTGAATTTATGTACCATATTTGTTTTATTATTGCGTTTTTTCCTTGAAATTGTACCCGCTTTGTGTTAATCTTTGTTCTAGTTTGTTATTTATTATTAAAATTTTTGGTATGTACTGAAAATAGGTAAATCGCGCCGAGTACATACCTATTAAGCTTCATGCCATAGTTATATATTCTTTTAACTGTTAACATAACTGTGCTATTAAAATAAACAAGTTGTAGATGCAGTGAAATAATTGAGCTAATAGAGTATGGTGAACTTGGTCGTAAGACTTGTACCGTACGGTTTGAATTAACCATTCAACTATTTAAACTAATAATTGGGGAAGTAAAATATTATTTGAACTATTTAAATTATTACGACTTTGAGTTGCTAATTTCCATTTTTATAATAAAACATTTTTGATTTTATTTGTATAAAGAAGTTATTTTAAATAATACGAATTGTTACATTTTTGTAAAAGTAAATGAATTGTACCTACTTTATATAACTTAATCCTGAAATTACATAACGAAGAAATTTTTATACGCCAAGCATTATATTCCTTTAACTCAGTGCACAAAGTATTATATTTTATTTATTTTGTTTATTTTGTTACAAAGAATAGTTTAATTTCAAAATAAAAATATGGGAACGCGTGTTTTGAGTTTCAAATGCAAGCCGATCGGATTAAGGCGAAGAACGATTTTCATTTATCAGGGTCGGCTTTGATAGTTGCTGGTGACATATTCATTATCTGCATACATAATTCCGAATTCGTCTGTACGTCTGCCCGTCCTAAGCGGGAAAACAGCGAGCGTCGAATCGACTAATCGAATGAGCGGTACGCTCGGAGCTGACGTGGGGTCGGTAAACGCATGTAAATGCGCCCTAATGGCTCCCGCAGCCTTGGGGGTCCCCCGCTCGGCGCCCGCCGAGTTTCGCGCCTAACGAGTGCGTGCCGACCACGAATTACGTCCGATCCCGATTAATTCGCCAAAGGTAAACTACCACACGTACGCTGAATCAAGACGGGCCCGAATACAACTTTTTATTTGAATACAGTGGACGTGCAGCCAAATAAGAACTCCGTTCCGTTGACGTTGTTTTCGTTTGCTCACAGTTGACTCGGTATTGCGATCATCATCATCTGCCCTTGTCCCATCTAGGTGGGGTCGGCATAAGAGTGTTTGTTGTTATATGCGGCGTTGGCTGTTTTTGCCTGCCTGATGACCGGCTGTCAACCCTTCTACCCCAATCCAGAACAATTATCTGTGCCTCACAGAAATACTTGTCCCGTGTGGGAATCGAACCCACGACCCTTGGTGCCGAATACCTTAGCAACGGCGCCACCGAGTCATGTAGCTTGGTATTGCCATATAAATTCTAAATTATACTGCATTCGCTTTCAATGAATTTGGCGTAAATAATGCCGGTTATGTATGTGGTAACTCAAGGTGCCTCCGTCTGATGGGGTTATACGCTTCATTACAGTCAGTTCTGCATAGATAATAATAGTTTTATTAAACAGTTCGGGTTTCAACAAAATTCCATGTAGTTTATGCTTAATTAAGACATATTTATTTGAATCTTTCTTTGAAGTTCGATTACAAGCCGGTTCGCTTTGCGAGTTCTGTCAAGTTGTACTGTCAAGTTCACCTTATGTTACGTGAATACCTCCGACGTGGACATCTGCAACAGTTGAGGAGTAGTAATTGCTTTTTTTGTAAAAAAAATGGCTATTATTTTTTACCCTAATTGCAAATGTTTAGTATAATGTCAAAGAATACATTGAAAACAAGGATTTGTGAAATTGACTCTTGCTCTGCAATTACCCTGGCTGCTGCTGATTTTATAGCTATAATTTTGAATACTTGTATAATTAACTAAAGCCGGCCAAGTGCGAGTCGGACTGGAGTATGAAGGGCTCCGTACCATTGTCTATAAAAACGGCAAAAAAATCATGTATGTTGTATGGGAGCCCCACTATAAATATATTTTTATTGCTTTTTTTAGCATTTTTTGTTATAGCGGCAACAGAAATACATCATCTGTGAAAATTTCAACTGTCTAACTATCACGATCAGACAGACAGACAGGGGAGTCTTAGTAATATGGTACGTTTTACCCTTTGGGTACGGAATCGAAAATACGGTGGAATTTTTGACTTTCAACAAGAACTTAGAATAAGCCTATATTGGATAAAGAAATTTTGACTTTGATAACCTTTTATAAATGGCCGATTACCACCGAATGCTGGCCTTTTGTGAGGCCGTAGTATTATTCCTTGTACTTTCTGGTCCATTTGTACATCAAGGCTGATGCGTGGCGCAACCGCGGTTTAAATCCCTTTGAATTGTTTTTTTTATTTGAATTGACCTTTGAATCAATCAATTACTAACGATGAATATAGGCTTACTGCATGTTATGCGGTATAAGAACACAACTCCAATGCCGTTGATTTGAAAAAAAATCAAGGCAAGTGAAATCGTGGTCCCAGGCCTTTTCGTAATGTTAAAGCTTTTTATTAAAATAAGTATTTCTTGACACGTTTTTACACAACGTTTTCCCGTTATAAGCTAACTAGGTAAGTGATAAACATACCGGGACATGCTTTTCTCTTGTAGAGACACACACACAGAGACACATATTTTATAGATATATAAAAGCTCAGCCACCAGAAACATATTTTATTCGTGACATAATAGATTTTTAGTAATGGGGTTCGAACCCACATCACTGGGGCTAGATCTGTCTCTTGTGCACCAACCCAATTCGTGTGTAATATCCACTGCGCCAATTGGGTCACAATTTAGTTTATTACTGTACCATTTAATGTAAAAATCAATCATTACGTCAGTAAAGTACACAATACTGCTTGGTCGGTCACATTGAGGTTAGCCTTATCAACAAAAATATTCAAATACAATTAAAGACTAATTGTCTTATCAATTGATGTCTCCGCAATACGGGATACAATTGGTTATAAATAACAAAAAATATGAATGGGGTACCTTGAGGAAAAAGTCATACTTTTCATTACATAACTACATAGTGTAAGAAATCTTTACATTTACCATTTTAGTTAGTTGGGCATTCCACGTGAAGCGGACAGATAAAAATGTATAGATGTTTCCGATTTTAGTAATATTTGATAATGCGTAACTATATGCGTCCTCAATGCAGATACAAAACATTTTTACACTATAAGATATACAAATAGAGAACGTTAATAGTAATACTATATTTTTCTAATGCAAAACTAACTTGAACGGGTAAATCCCAGAAATTTTATCGACGAAACGTTAAAAGTAAGACGTAGATTGACCATAATTCAGAATCCATTAAGAAGGAAATAGGGAAGGTGTTGCTGTAGGCACATTTGCAGGCGAGTTTTCACATCCGCCCGTACGTTTTCCGAAAAATGGCGTTCGCCCGCCGGACAAAGGCGGGGGCCATTAGGCGTGAGCCTCTTTAGTCCCGACACCGGCCCAGAGGCCCGAGGGCGGCCAATTGCGGCGACAATGCGACGACCTTCGCCCCGACAATGCGCGAACGAGCGGCGCGAATTAGCGCTCTTTCGAAATCGCTCGCACTCCGCGTCTCCATTGTAAGGTTTGCACGACAATAAACATCGGGAGGGAAACTGTAGCGTTTCGCGCGACCCGAGCAATCACAATGGGCGGAATGCTAATAGGTGTTAATGCTGCGATGGGTGGGTGCGCGCCGCGGGGTAACGTCCCGTCGAGATTTTTTTTCTTTTGGCTAGATGAGCCACTGTTGGCCTTAGGGACCTTCAAAGATCCGACGGACTTGAGGTGGCCTGGCGCTCGGGGCGCCTCGCCCCAACCTCGGAACCCCGTCGAGTTTGTTAACGCGCGTATTTTATAACAAACCCACCGAGTCGATAATCGGCCGCCCCACGTTTGTTATTCAACGCCACTCGACGGACGGACTGCCGTCGCGATTCTCCTCGTGTTTCGAGCGAGGAGTGTGTTTTTGTTGGACATTTTTATCACAATACTATGGTGCTCGTTAAATGGATAAACAAACAAAATCAGTGTAACGGTTGTTGTAGTAGTACGTCAAATGTAGATACGATTTGTTAGTATTTCGCGAACGGTTTATATGGTTTCTAATTTAATTTCCCATAAGCCTCTTGGAATCTTTACGATCGCTGATTGCACCACTTAACACTAAACAATCTTAGACCATACTAATTATTATTTTTCTTGTGATTACTTGGTTTACACTATTTTACGGATTTTATCTTGTTTAATTCATCGCGTTTATTTCCATTTTATTTCCCGATGTTTCGAACCCTTTTCAACGTTCATGGTAACGTGACCTTGTGTAGTTTCATTAAGTAATGTTTAATCGTGTCAATAATAGAAGTTATCGTTTAACTTTGGTTTTAATTACCGAATCCCCCGTTTGGAACGCTATAGTTTTTGGTCACGGGGCAGAAAGTTTTTTTCGTGGGTCACATATTCGAATGTGCAAAAGCAGGATGTTAAGTAACTTATCCTCCGTAATGCGTATCATAATGGAGTAATTAGTTATAGTTTATATTGTTAGAGTAATTAGTTAGTTATAGTCAATGAGTTATTTAGCCTATGTTAGACTTCCATTCAATTACAAAATAGGTGACTCCAAACCAAGCTATGTACGCTCTTACAGGCCGTTTATCACTGATGCATGTGGCGCAACTTACTGCGTTCCATCAAAGGGGTAAACCGCACTGCCTATGTCAGACTTCCATTTGATTGCAGCCTGGACAGACCGACAGACCGTATCACCGAGTAACGTGTCACAACCGCTACCAAGTCACGTAGTGAAAGCCCGTGATAGAAATATATTTAGTGTACAACCACCTGCCTATCGAAACGTGGAGTCGACCGGTAACCTGATATCGTAATAGGCGCTAACTGACGCAATATAGTCGGTCAACACTCGACAGACGCGAAAGGGTCCACGCCGCTGCGCCAACCAAACACCGTCAAAACAAACGGCCCGAAGTGGGCGACCGCCCGGAGATTCGCACTTCAGCCCCCTTTCGAGGAAATGGAGCATTCGATACGCGCAGTTGTTAATGTCGTTCCAGCGATACACGGTGACGTCGACAGCAAATAAACCGCGGTCGAGTAGTTTATTTTCGAAGTTACACTTCTTTTGGCGCGATCGGGAAAAACGATGATAGTGAATTTTTGCGACGCGCGACACCTAAGCCGACATCAACTTCACAATGGTTCCATGGCAACCAATAACAACTTATTGACATTTTCTGTCAGGTCCAAGTTACTGGATTATACCGTTATCAATTGTATTAATCTTTTTGCCACAAACAGAGTACTGGCACACGGGAAAAATTTTGTTTTACATTTCATTTGTTAGGCTAAAGAGGGATAACTTCTTACGTGCGTAAACACAACTTTTTTTTCATTTTTTTAATGGTTTTTTCGCCGGTATTGAAAACTTATAAAATTTAGTAATCTTAATAGGATACAGTTTCATTTAACAACGTGGCGTATTTGCATAATTACAAAGACTTACATTCAAATTAAACAAATATCTATTGAAGTTATAGAGCACCGTTTTTAAGGCTTTGTTAAATACTCAAATCATTTAAAATTTATTTAAAATACATTTCGACAAATCACTACACAAAGAAAGACGGAAAAACGGAAAGGTTTATAAAAATAAATAAAATGTAGAATTTATAGTGGAATATAAAATATCACCGAAACGTATTTCAAAAAACATTTAATAGAATACTCAAAGAAAGAATTAATAAAAACCGGCCAAGCGCTAGTCGGAGTCGCCCACGAAGGGTTCCATACCATCTAATATATAAAATTCTCGTGTCACGGTGTTTGTAATTGAACTCCTCCGAAACGGCTCGACCGATTTCCGTGAAATTTCCGACCGATTTCGATGTGCATATCGGCCAGGGTGGAGAATTGGACAACATCTATTTTTAATCCCCCTAAATGTTAAGAGTGGTCCACCCTAACAGTTTTTTCTACCCTACAAATTCCCTAGAAATAATTTATATGGCAGAACAACGTTTGCGGGGACAGCTAGTTATCTATAAAAGCGACAAAAAATCATGTCTGTTATATGGAATCATGTTTATATGGGAGCCTCCTTAAATATTTTTTATTTGATTCTGTTTTTTAGTATCGTAGCGGCAACAGAAATACAAAATCTGTGAAAATTTCAACTTTCTACCTATCACGATTCATGAGGTACTGCCTGGTGACAGACGGACAGACAGACAGCGAAGTCTTAGCAATGGGGTTCCGTTTTACCCTTTGGGTAGGGAACCCTAAAACTGTAGGCTTTCTGGAATGAACTCGCGTTTATAGAAGATTCCTGACAATAAGAGCGATTTCTAAAATACGTCTTAAATATTATTGTTGCAAATCTCTTCACTTTAATCTAGGCTAGATAATTTTCCAATACTAAATGTATATTTCATTACAGTTAAGATTTGATGCTCTAGATATATGAATGTGAATAAACCATTTTTTTTGCCGTAGTATTTCGTAGCGAGTCGAACCCAGGCGTTTAATGTTGCTAACCCAAATGTTACAAACAAATGTTGCAAACTTATGCATGCCTCAGTGCTGGATAAAGATCAAAGCATACATGATACGGTATAGTGAGTGTCACTCATTTCTAGCGCGAATTGGCGAACTTGGCATATCTTCGAAATATTTATTTTCAAAAAGTCATACCTGAGACAAAGTAAAAACTAAAGTTTTTGTTTTTTTTAAGATTTAATATTAGATCAATAAAGATTGTAAATATTAAAAAAAAACTAAAGTAACTATTTATTTTCCACGACCATTGATCTGTCTTGAACAATTACTTGTTTTGTCGTGAATTACGACAGAGAGTGAATGTACTAGATATATCAGAATTTAGTATTTATTTATATCACCTAATTTTTCTGAATAAATTCAGAGTGACTTTTAATGTAGTTAAATTTCAATAAGGTTGCTTCACGGTGCTCTTTTTCCTTCCGAAAACCGAATAAAAAAAATGTTTGACTGTGTCCTTGACTTTCTTCAACACCTCAAAACTCTCATCTTCGAACATACGAGAAACTAACACTACAAAGTGCCCAACCCAATGGCCTATTGGCGCGCACCGCTTACAGAACCATTTCCTCTAATTATGTCGAAACATTTCGACTTATTGTTACAAATCGGCCGACAATACAAATCGCGTGCAACATTCACGTTCCAACGAGCCCGCAACAATATGGGCATGCGTCGCGGGCGAGTCTTCGGGCTCCCAATGGGGGCGGTCGGGCGGAAGAGGCATTGGGACCCGTTGGCCTGTGCACATTTAATTGTGGCGCCGCGACATGGGGAGCGGGCCCCCTACGAGTGGCAGCCCTAATTGTTTTGACAACGTGAGCAGTTGCAGAGGTTAATCATAACACCCCGTTGCTAGATGGATGGACCCGTTTGACGTGAGACGCTGGATAAGTGGTGTCGGTATGCTATTGATTGATATTTGATTTTTTTTTATGTTAGTAGGTTGCAAACGAGCTAGCCTAGAGTTTTCCGCTGATTTTCTTTCGCCGGTTCTTCTCAGGTCAGTGGCTTTCTTGCCGAACCTGTAGTAGTGTTTTTTGACAATCAATGAGTAAGTGTAATGCTTCGATATTGAATAAAGATATTTGATTTGGTTCACCCGATGTTTAATGATAACCGTTGCCCATTGTCATTTGCAACACCCGTGGGGTTGCAGATGCGTTGCCACCTTTTAACAAAGTGAGCCCAGACTACCTAACTCATTAGACTAAACGCACAAGAATGATACTCCCACTTCACGCCGGTATTCTGTGAGGTCGTGGTACTTACCCAGCAGCTCAGCTTTGGGATTGAAAAAATGCTACCTATAGCCTCCATTTCGTTTTGTGTGTAATGTTAAATGTTAATCTTAATTTACCTTTTTTAACCTGATATATTAATTTCGATTTAAGTAACACATAGGTATTTTTAACAGGAATTAAGAAAGAATTAACTTACAAATCCATTTATCGTAATTGAAAATCTATGACTGATTTGCCAAATTTCGTTCGCCGTTTAACAAAAGCAACAGATAAACGTCAAGTCTATGTAATGAAGGACCCCCGAGTTAAGTTAACATAGACACATTAAAAAAATAATCAAAAAAGGGGCCAAACGGACACATGTAAAAAATAACCAGCAAAGGAGCACCTTAACAACATTGTTATTTCGTTAAACACCCGATTTTTATAAGTTGATCGCGATTGTTGTCATTCGAGTTTTTCTAGCGCATACGCGAGAGGTCGTGTTTTGTTTGTTTTCATATAATGTCATTCGTTGGCAACACCGCCCACGTGAAGACTCTTGTATACAGAACAGCCAACATGGAAATGACTCTTACTCTGTACTTGAAGTCCCCTAGCTGCTGCCGATTTTATACCTAAATAGTTTTGTATACTTATATAATTTTAAAAAATAACAAGACCGCAGAGTTTCTCACCAGTTCTTCTTTGGACAGTCTATTTTAGTGAACCAGTGGTTTTGAAATAAGCTTGAATAATGGGCTTTGTTATATAAAGTTTAACGATAACAGAATCTTTATATATTGGTAGATTCGTCTACCTAAACGTTAGGTCACGGGTCTTATGATCGCCGAAGCATTTACAATCCCTTTTTATCGGCTAGCAAAGATATTAGAAGTAACCTGCCTCAGGGGGAGATGGGTTATATAAAAATGTACCCAATTCTTTATGTTACCTCCGAAAGTTTATCTCATAATATAGATACTTTTAACTAAATAAAGATATGTTTAAATCGCGACTTTTGAACAAAAAATTGCGTTAACAACTGGCGTGTATCTAGTATTCTGTTAAATAATTGGGTATAGTTTCCAAGATATGCTATCAACAATAAGCGCACACATAACTGTATAACTGTGAAGCAGTTTGAAGCAAGCACATTAACCTCAACGTGACAACCGAACATAATCGCATACCAAGAGTTAAGGCACTAGCTGGGGTTACCCTTTATTTTCTTAAAAAAAAGCAATCATTTGCATTTTTGCGTTTAAAGGTATACAACCAAATGACATCGCGAGAGTAGGTTCCAGAGAGGGGGTCGCGCATTTTTTATAGAAAAAGGAGGTGAACGAGCAAGCGGTTCACCTGATGATAAGTGATTACCGCTGCCCATAGACATTTGCATCGGGCAACATCGGTTGAGTAGCGTAGGCCTTTAGGGTAGGAGTAGGCTCTCTTCTTGAAGGTCCCTAAGTCGCATCGTCGCAGCATCTCTACAGAAATCTCTTATGAAAACAATCTCGCAGTAAGCGCGCACAAAAAACGGACCATTCGGCACATAATCGTGTGTGACGAGCGACGTGTCTTTGTGGTGCGGCCGTGGCGTGAAGTTTTGAAATGCAACCGGCACAATGGCGTTCGTGGAAGGGGAGTGCGGTTGGAGTGCGTTTCGAGGGCGTTTCAAGTGTTGACCCGCCGATGGGACAATGGACGCAAACTGGCGCGACCGTCCACCGATCATCCCGCGGGGCTGTTTGCTTAGACGACACCGGGATTCGAATTTTGGACGCTGCGTTCGTCGGGGAGCGCTTTCAGTCCAATATAAAGTCTCGCCATTTCGATCGTCACGCGAAAATCGTGATCTTTCCAAGGGATATGGAAAAAGTCCACAAATTTAAAGGGAACTTCGCTGATTATCATTTATGTTTGTTCGATATTCTCTTCGAATGATCAGGCTTTGATTCCCTTCTCGAAATATCCAAATACACTCTCGTTTAAAGTTCATCCCATAAAAATGTATAGTAGTAAAGTATCAGCCTATATATATTCCACTGCTGGAAAAAAGGGCATAGTCCACCACTGCTGATTAGCAGACTTCACAAATCTACAAAATATTTTTTTATGCACACAGAGCTACCACGGATCCATTCTTCATCCTATACTGGGCATAATAATAGCGAATTAACCTCAAGTAGACGATACATGTCGTTCTAATTTAAAACCAAAGTTTATTAATTTAACACATAACAAATTTTAATATCCTTTCTTGTGATACAAAAGGTGCCTGATACTTATAAACCTTGGTCCTATATCGAGAAGAGTTGGCAATATCCGCCCATCTGCGTCGTTTTTCTTTTCTTGTTTATCGAGTCTAAAGAGAGCGTCTTGTATTAACCATTCACAAATGTTCGCTATCCCCCATAAAATCCGCTCTACCGTTCTGTAGATAATAGAGACAGAAAGACATTAAAAACACTTGTCTGGATCTGTTCTAAAGCATATGAAATCATGAAAATCTTTTACTTATTTTAACAGATAGACATTAACTTGATGAATGTATTTGAAGATATACGTCTAAAAATTCGGATCGGTTGAGAAAAAATATATCGTTCTGGTTAAATGAGAAAGAAAGTCAATGTCACTTCATTAAGTTAAGCTTGCTTTATTTACGACATATTTGAAGATGTAATATAGTCGTAGCTTCAACTTTAGCTTTTATCCTGTGACTCGTGACTCAAAACATTTATTGCATTATTAGTCTCGTTGTCTTTTACTTTATTCAGTATAGAAGCATTACACTTACTTATTGATTGTAAAAATACTACTCACTACTGGTTCGAAAAAGATCACAGTTAATAATAAGTTGAGAAATGGAAAGGTTAAGAAACGTTTAAGTGCTTAACGCAAGTTAACCATGAAACGTTTTAAATTATATTTTTTCTTTACATTTTCTTCATTTGCAGTTTGATTTTGTCTTTTAGTTGAGCCAAAAGTGTAGGTCTTTATCCTAGCAAACCTCATATTTTTAACTTCCCATTTTATTCTTTAAAAGTTGTCATCAACCTAGTACTTTTGCAGAGTTAGTTAAAATTTTATGAACGCACATTATAATCAAACATAATTTCGCTCATTAGGGTTATGCTTACAGCAAAACAATCTGTTGAGACAAATCCGCATGAAGCTCAAATATTTGGCCAAACATTCGATTGGATTACGCGGATACTGCTATCGCTTCGCACGAGAATCCACTGTTTGCGTTCCCAGCCAATGTTATTGTAGGCAAATTCCTATAAAAATCCAGGTAAGCCGATACCCGAATGACCCGTCACGTCAAACGCAGCGCACGGCAAACACGGCAAACAATTGTGTTTTCCTCACAATTATTCCACGAGACGAGACGCGTCCCATCGGATATTACGCAAACAAAGTTCAAAAAACCCTGCCACGGACAATATCGGTAGCTCATTAATGGACGAAAGTTTTGACCAAATATTTGAACATTCCGGCACAATCGGCATTATGAGGCTGCGCGCGCGGCGGACAAAGACTGGTAGTTGATATAACAGTGCATTTATTTATAGTGGTCGAAACAGGGGAGCTCATTAGAAACACATCGGCCAACATGTGTAAATAAATACGCAGTGAGACGACTCGCCCAAACATCTCCAACGCCGACGTCGATGAGCTCACGAGCATTTTGGACATCGTATTTTGTCACGACTCGCCTCACACTTGACTTGACTACAGTCGTAATGACACTATTTCATAAAAGTACCAGCCTATACATTTCCCACAGCTGGGCAAAGGCCTCCTTTAAGACAGAGGGTATCGGGGCATAGTCCACCACGCGGCCCCACTGCGGATTGGCAGACTTCACATATCTTTGAAATATTTTTTTTTGTTATTATTTCGAACGAAAATATTCAGGTTTCCTCACAATGTTTTCCTTCACCGCTGAGCACGTGATAATTCAGCACTTTAAGTGCTTACTTATTGACAATTTCATTGGTGCTGACACCGGGGATCGAACTAAGGTTGCTCGAGTATATTAAATTAAAGGCGAGCGCCCGGACACTGAGCTATCACGACTCCTATTATATACAATATTTCATACTGTTTCAAAAAAAGTGTAAATTAAAACACAGTTTATATTCTATTGCTGGGTGGCCTCCTCTGCATGGAGTGTGTGAGGTATACGCGACTAGATGGAGTGACGATCTGTATGAGTATGCAGGAAGTCAATGGTTACCGCTTTCCAAGGACATCTACAACAGCAGTGGGGTTGTGAACGGACTGTCCTTTATATGAGTTGGCCACGGCTACGGAATCATCGAAACCTATCACTTCACTTCTGTGAGGTCGTGGTACTTTCCCAGACGAACTTGCATATTCGTGCAAGCAAAAGCTGCTGCTGCTGCTGTTATGAAGGAAGGACTTCCTTCATAAATTCCTTTCATTTTGACGGTGGTAGAGCCACGCAGCAGCCTCGGCTGTTGCACGAATGGGCAGGCTCGTCCGGGTAAGTACCATAACCTCACAGAAAATCGGCGTAAAGTGGAAGTATGAGAAATACTTTCGCGTT